TGGCCGGCGGTGTCATGTGCTGCCGATGACGTGGTTTCTGCAGTCGGGAATCCCAGCTATCTGAGCGCGCTCAGTCGCTCTTCAGTCTCTCTGCAGTATGACGTCAGCGCTGGAGTTTCCTCCACTCTCTTGCCTCAGTCACTCCGCTGCTGCATTATGCGCTTTGACTTGTGCGCGCTCAGTCGCTCTCTCCACCCGTCTACTTCAGTCTCTGCAGTATGACGTCAGCGCTGGAGTTTCCTCCGCTCTCTCGCCTCAGTCACTCCGCTGCTGCATTATGCGCTTCGACTTGTGCTTTTAAAAGCATTTCCAGTGTGTGTGTGTGTGTGTGTGTGTGTGTGTGTGTGTGTGTGTTTTACAGCAGATGGCAAGTTACTCAACCCTGAACCTTTTGCACAAACTGTCCCTCCGTCCACACACACACACGGGTCTAATGCGTTTTTGGACAAATGCTCAGATGCCACACTTCAGTCACTCCTGTCTTTATGATGTAAGAGCCACATCCTGTCACTCTCCTCGTCGTGTTTCTGCAGAATGTAGTGTGTGAACTGTGCAGTATGTGAACGTTCTGCTTGCAGAAAGCCTGGATGACCTACATTTGGCCAAATGTGCAGCACACTGCATTAGATATACACTGTATCCCACAATGCAATCTTCTATTTCAAGTATGATGAATTAATTTAAATTGTATTTTTTATTTAATATATATTTTTTAATTTATTTTATTTTTAATTTGATTTATTTTTTATTTGTGTATTTTAATTTTTATCAATTAAAAAAAAATTTTTTTTTAAATGTATTTATTATTTTGCTGTATTACGGTGTTCTGATGCTTCTGTAACCAAGACCAAGCTTCAACGCTCTTGGCAGTAAAGCTCATTCTGATCCTGGTTCTGATGATGAGGTCATGTGACAACTGTTTATTATTGCATACTACTATTTTTAACCTAGTAGGTGGTGTACAGTATATACTGCACATTCTTCAGTACACATGCAGCCCTAGAGATATTCATAGTGTCTGCTGCCGTATTCACACTTAAACATGTATATCTTGAGTTAATCTGTTTATATTGTGCTTTCCGTGTCATCTAACCAGTGTTTCTCTCCAGCAGGTTGAGCTGTGACGATTGTGTGGATAAGAAAGTTGTGCAGGATGCAGGGAAATAGAGAAGACGCTCGTTCACCATGACACCCCCCCCGCTCTCATCTCAGCCATAGGAACACACGCGCACACACACACACACACACACACACGCAGAAGAACACACACCATCACACTACAGCCCAGGTGTGTCAGGTAAAGACTGACTGAACTGTGTTTGATAACAAATACTGATGACCAAAAGATCTATTTTTGCATCTCCTCCTCCTCACGCACTCGTGTTTGTGCGTTCAGGGTTTGTGAGGTGTGCGCTTTGAGGGATCATGTCTGTGGTCTTCACACCCGATGGGATGTTGGAGGGCGACGGCTCTCTGTCCACCGATGCTTCCACGGGCATCCGTGGCAAAATCAGCCCGACGGCACTCGCAAAAGACGCCAACTCCGACAGCACCGAACCAGACGACAACCTCTCCCAGGATGCACAGGTGAGACACAGAAACGCTAGGAAGGAGACTTCAGACTTTCCTTACTGTCTTCCTCAAACCTGCATTTATTTAGAGACACAGCTACATTAGCATTCACACGTTTGAGGTCGATTAGACGTTTTATTGTTTTAAAAGTCTCTTCTGCTCATCAGAGGTGCATTTATTTGATCAAAAATTCATAATTTTTGAAATATTTTTATATTTTAAATAGATTTTTCTATGTGAATATCTGTTAAAGTGTAATTTATTTCTCTGAATTTTCAGCATCATTCCTCCAGTCTTCAGTGTCACATGATCTTCAGAAATCATTCTAATATGCTGATTTGCTGATCAAGAAACATTTCTGATTATTATCAATGTTGAAAACAGTCGTGCTGCACAATATTTGTGTGGAAACTGTGATCGTTTTTATTTTTCAGGATTCACAGATGAATAGAAAGTTCAAAAGAACAGCATTTATTTGAAATGGAAATCTTTTGTAACATTATAAATGTCTTTACTGTCACTTTTAATCAAAAAAAAAAATGCTTACAGACCCCAAAAATTGGAATAGTAGTGTACATACAGTTAGATTTCAGCATTAATGAGAGTAAAATAGGTTAAAACTTGTCGAACCTTTATTAAAAAGTTTTATGCCTTGATATGGGAAACTCAATCTGAAACAGTTTGATCTGTCACAAAACTAATTTAAGTGAACTGGAAAAAAGGCTAAAAGCTGATGAAATGGTGACCAGTCACAGCACCAGAAATATATATTATATTTTATATATTTTCCCTGATACACATGTAAATCTTGATGTTGAATAGAATGCATTTTCTCCATGTTATTTGTCAGCTACTTTCTGTGAAGTATCTGTCATTTTCAGGTTTTGTTTGGTGCTGAAGTTCATCATTAATGAATGATTTTAAACGGTCATTAATAAATATTTTGGTCTTTCCCCGCAGCGGCGCTGTCAGAATCACGGCCACACTAGGAAACGAGCCAAGGTAAAGCGTGCGACGACACGCAGCATGTGTAGTTCAGTCCTAAACTTGAGTTTAACCTCGACTCAACCGACCCATAACAACTGGATTTTTGGGTCTTATTGCGTGAAATCTTGTTTATGTATTACTTTCAATGCAAAAATCATAATTAACATCTCAATTGTATGCAATTAAAATAAATAAATAAATAACACGGATGTCCAAAAATATATAAAAAAATTTAATTAAATAAAACAGGTGCTCAGTGCATTAATTAGAGAACTTCGGTTAAAGGGTTCATGACAAGTCTCAAAGTCTTCAAAGTCTCTAAAAAAAGCATTTTGAAGCTGTATGTTAAATATTCCATGTGTAGTGTTTCATTTATGGTTTGTTAAAATAATTCAAATGTTGGAAGGTGTATTTAGGATACATTTCTAGACGCATATGAAACCAGACCAGTCCTTTAAATGAATGCGGAGACGAAAGCGAGACTCTCTTCCTGTCGACCTCTCGCTCAGTTCTGTTGCCTTTTCACTAGTTGGCAAACCTGCCAAGTGTGATCATCTTACCAGATGTTCTACAAACACACACGCGCACGCACGCACGCACGCACACACACACACACAAACATACTCACACACACACACACACACATACACACACACACACACATACTCTCACACACATACATACACACACTCACTGATACTCACACGCGCACGCACGCACGCACACAGACACACACATGCACACACTCACACACACACTCACGCACACACACACACACTCATACTCACACATGCGCACACACACTCACACACACATACTCACACACACACACTGATACTCACACGCGCACACAGACACACACATGCGCTCACACACACACACACACTCACGCACACACACACACTCATACTCACACATGCGCACACACACTCACACACACATACTCACACACACACACTGATACTCACACGCGCACACAGACACACACATGCGCTCACACTCACACTCACACACACTCACACACGCTCAATCACATTTAACCGTCCCTTACAAACAAAATTAAACATTTCCGAAGCATTAATGTCTATAATGTAACCGTAGTGAAACATTCAGCAGGAAATAATGCAGGACTCTGTTAAATCTAGAATCTGATTGAAAACATATATTTAACCCCTTCTGGCCATTTCCTATTTAGGGTATCTGAAATTATACTTTCAGCATGATGTATTTTTAAGTGCTTTTGGAATAAAATAGATGCATCATGCAATTTCAGATTTCACTTTCTCATCGTGATTCTTTAATTGACAGGCTTGCTGTCAGAGCGCTTCCCACTAGTAATTACCCTTTGTACTAATCACATAAATACAGCATAGGATTCCTCGCTGTCACAGTCTCGTTTGCATCAGCAGAAAAGATGCTGCAGAGTTATTACGTTTTTAATGGAAGGTTACGAATGCAGAAGTTTTCACGCGCACAATAAGAACTGAAATTGCAGTGAATTGATTTCATATTGACAGTATTCAAAACTAGCAGCTGTTTTTCTGTTCCATATGCCTGAAATATAACTTCACCTCGTTTATTTCTCGTAATTCATCTTGGTTGTGTTGTTGATGATATCTGTGAACTTTCTTGGTCCTGCATTTCTGCTCTCTGTCTCTCTCAGTCGAATGCGAAGCTGAAGCTGGTGAGGAGTCTTGCAGTTTGTGAGGAATCTTCAGGACCGTTTTTGACCGACGGCCCTCCAGAATCGCAGGTAAACTCTGGTGGCTTTATCAGTAAAGAATAGTGCATTATTCACCAAAACTCAGAGACCTTCATGATTTAGAAAACTTGAAGTGTAGGCTGTGCTAAATGTATTTTGGCAAGTAAAATACTTCTGATTTCACTAGATTTGATTCTGTAACAGCTGCAAACAGCAATCGAAGCCCTTATGAAGCCACTGTTAGGATACGGTCATTAATATTCATGTTTTTTAATCTGGCTCCGCCCTTGAAGGACATCATTCAGCTTCACATCAGCTGTCCGTCCGATAAAGAAGAGGAGAAATCCTCGAAAGACGAGTACGAGAATGAGGAGAGGGAAAAGAAGGATAAAACTCCACGCAAGATGCTCTCGCGCGGTAAGACGCTCAAGTTCCTTTCTTACGGTTTTGAAACTGTTGATGCAATGCAAAAGAGCTCAACAGTCGGTTGTGGAAGTAAAAACTCCATTCATTTTCTCCACAGGGAAATTGATTATTAACAATAATTGATAAACCTTTAAAGACCGAGCTGTTGTGAGCTAATCGATTGTATATGCTTTCGTTGAACCCATTCGTTCACGTTAATTCAGCGTATATTTAAAATAATCACACAATACGCAGAATTCGTGGTGAAAAACTACATTACCCATGATGCTGTGCAGAAAATTCCACCAATCAGTGAATCGCTGCGAGTAGGGTGTGCTAAAGAGCACCGCAAAAATGCTCTCAAAATACTGAAATATTTGTATAGAAGTGCGTATTTAGCAATAATCTTAAATATATTGCTTCTATAGATACAACCAATAACTTAAAATGAGTCGTTTTAGATTTCTCAGTCGTTTTTAATTCGATTGAGTCGTTTGCAATGCTTCATGGGATTGTAGTTCTTTCGCTCGTTGGTTGGTTTGGTTCATGGTTTATAGCTCTTTAACTCTTTCCCCGCCAGCATTTTTTTTTTAAGTTGCCAGCCACCGCCTAGCCATTTTGATGATTTTCACTAAAATTTGATGGCCTCCAGTATATTTTGCTGTATGAATATTTGAATATGCAATACACCAAAATAACCTCTACTTTTATTATCAACTCTTGAATATAGGTAGGTTTCATAAAAATGCATAATTTTGAGCAAAAAGGTGAGAAAATCAAATTTTTATCAAAAACTACATCTGGATAATATTCAGTACGATTATCAAAGCATAAATCCAGTAAATCACTTCACCTCCAAAGCTTGCACAGACATATACCACTTCCTAAATCAACATTTTTTACAGTTTTCATTTATATGCTGTCTATTGCTGTTATTTTTCATATGCATCTGTTTACATAAGAGATCGCTAGTTTCTCCATCCTGTTCACCTGTGTTTTCGTTCGGGAGGTTTTGTACTCGTTCAGAAGATGCGTAATAGCGCCCCCGAGTGTATAACAGTGAAACACGGAAAGCCGTAAAAACTCGTCTTTGGCGGGGAAAGAGTTAATGAAGACATTTTATGAATTCCTATGGGGAACATGAACGGGAACAATACTTCCGGAACAAGCAGCGCTGAAAAAGTGCAACAAAATATTGTAACACTATAAAAAGTTAAAAGTAACGGCTTCTGTACTGTTCTGAACTCGGTGACTTGCTTCATGAATTCACAGAGACGTTCACATCTGATTCTGACTCCGTTTTCCGCTCTCTTCCAGACTCCAGTCAGGAATACACTGACTCCACAGGGATTGATGTGCACGAGTTCCTGGTGAACACACTGAAAAACAACCCCAGGTACGAGGCTGCATCCCAAATCACATACTATCTTTCCTAAGTAGTATACGAGAAGAAGTGAGGCTTAAATCATAGTAGTTAGTGTGCTGAAGGAACCCGGATTTCAGTACTGAGAGAAAGAGTTCAGAAAGGGATTTTCAGTCTAAATGTGAATTAGTAATTGGTTTTAAGGAAATGTCTTTATATGCCAGTGCTTGCATGAGTATTATGTAGTGGTCGACCGATAGTGTTTTTTTGACAGCCGATGCCGATATCTTGGAAATCAGGGTGGCCGATATAAAGCCGATGTAATTGTATTTATTTTAATTAATATTTAAGAAATTTGAAATCATTTGAAAATGGATTAAAAAATAAATTTGTAAAATAAACATACTTTTAGGCTACTTTAGATGACAGTATTTTTCACAAATAAATATTTAATAAAAATATAATTAAAAAGGAAGTAAACTAACCAACAGCACTCAGTATTCTGGGAAGTTTGTGTGCATTGGGAATCATATTTTTTCAAATAAAGCCAAGGTAACACTCATTTTACATACAGCACACAGTGAAAATGACATGAATATGACAGTGCGCAAATGCATAAAGCGTAGCATAATTTTAAAACACGAATTTAATGTTTAAAGCATTCGATTTGCACGGACCGAAAGTCACACAGAGAACACGCGATCATGCAGGTCACACTTCACATGATCTCACAACTGGATTTGACTAAGTTTGCAAGGTTTGTGAAATAAAATTTCCATTAGCCATTCAAAGATTTGTTTAAATGATGTAAATGCGTATTTGCTGAATGCTGACGGCAAACGAGAAAGTATTACAATTTTTGCCTTTCTATTACTAATAATATTAAAGCAATCGTTATAATACTTTTTTGTATACAGTTTAATTCCTTTGTTAAACAGCTCTATCTGATTATTAGATAGACTTATATCCGTATTAGACAGAACTGAATGACAACAGCGAACAAGAGGGAGAATTGTGAGCGGTGTGTGCTCAGGCGCTGCCGCAGCCATTCTCGGCGCCGTCAAAATAAAAGTTCCACCTCGAACACATCGGCCAAACAGAAAAACTTATCGGCCGATGCCGATATTTGAAAAA